GTGGGAAGTCCCCAGCATTTCCTCCTCCAGTTCAAAACTGCTCTGGCTTCCACACTTGCATCTCTTGTGCTTCTCCTCTTCAGCTCTACTCTGTTGACCCTCTGCAAAACAAGCTCCTGTGTGTAGAGTCAGACGCTCTGCACTTGGTGGGGGCTCTTGCTTGCCTGCATGTACACCTGACATCTGGGCCATGTTCACTTGGTGAAATGATTGGCTAAGGCAGATGCCTGTCAGACAATTTTAGGGCTGCTGCAAGACTCACCATCTCAATTTCATCTTCAACGACAAGAAGCTGGGATTTCCTGGCCAGACAGTTATTCCGGCTCTCATCCCAGCTTACAGCCTCCTCAGAGAAGTAGTAACATCTCCCCCTGTGTAGTTGCCACCCTGGAGGACACAGCTCGCATGTTGTTCCTGTGGGTGGAGAGAGGGAACCATTAGCTCGTACCGTGACTTGTTCCAGTTGCCTTGTAGCATTTTATGTTCATGTGCCTGGCTGGCTGGTCCAAAAGCGGCCAGTCCCCACTCCCAAGCATGTGTTCGCTGGGTGTGGAGAGAGGTTTGAAGTCTCCAGTGCCGCTCCCCTCCTCAGCTTCCCACTCCCTTGCCGTGGTGCTATGCACTTCTGCACTCCCACTGCACATCATCGGGCTCTCTACCTGCCTGTGCACCTGCCCGGTGGAGAGCACTGGGAGGACCTAGAGGGCTGCAAAGACACTTTTCCTCCTCCCACATGCAGCCCTTGTGAGGAGACACCGTGCGATGTGACGTGATGTGGAGTGTGTGGATTTAACACATGATGTGACCGGAAAGCACAGCTACTTAAATGACGTTCAAACTACATCCATGGAGCTGGAGAAGGAACTCTGTTAAATAAGGGGACCACTGCTGTTCCCACGTCTACTTCCCATTTCACTCAGAGCATCTGGGAGGAACGTCCCCTGCATTTTCTGTCTTGGCTTCCTCTAATGTTTCAAAGTAACATCATTACAATCAATCCTTAGAAAAGCATTAATATTTGCCGACAAACAAGAGATCCACAATAAAAAGACCAGGAAGGTCTTCCCCTGCCTGATCCTTGCAAAAGGCTAGGAAATCTAAATTCCCTCCCACTCTTTGTAAACAATTATTTTCTGGAAAGTGTTCTCCAGGACAAGGGGAGGATGTACGATATATGGCATTTCTGACAGCAGCTCCTGGCAGAAAGAAATGCAAAGAAAGTACTGGAAACTGTTTATGCCGAAAGAGGAGCAAAACTATTGTCATTAAAATGTTAGTTTAGATCCTGGCATCACTTCTATGCAGGAACACCATGCTCCCTGGCTAGTACCAGTGATTTCCCATAAATTGCAGGTGTCATGGAAATGGGAACAGAGACAACAGAAGTGCGCACACAACACGTCCTCTATGCTGTGGAAGGACTAACTTCCCTCACCCTGTCCGTCTTCACACAGTTCCTCCATGAGCCATTTCAGGAGCACTGCCGAGACAGTTTTCTCTGAAGAAATGTGATCACCAGTGCTATTTAGACCATACTGGGACGAACTTTCCGATTTTCCTGCTCTGCCCTTCAAAACTTGAACAACAACAAAAAAAAGAGATTATGGTTAACAACAGGTCACGGAAATGTAGTCTTTGTATCCACTGCTACACTGTGAACGTGAGGATATGTGTGCGTGTGTATGCATTGAGGCGGGTATACACACTCAGTTATGAGCATACTCGGTGAGTATAACTGTCTGGCAAAGGGTGTAGCTGCTGAATAATATGAACAGTACAGGAAAAGAAAATAAGTTTGTAATTTTTGATAGTTGGATATATAAAGAATACACAATATTTTGGTGAGATTTTAGGGAGGGTTGGGAGGTACATGTTTTTTTGAAGTTTTTCAAGACTGTTTTCTCTCAGGAAATTAATATCTTCTCTGGAACAGTTCTTGTATAACTGGAGCATGCTGTGGATTATGCTATTACTAGTACTTCAGAAATGATCTGAAGTCTGATTTTTATTTTATTTGTTCAAACCTACAAAGTAATTAAGTGAAATGGTCTCAAAGTAGCATCATAGATGCAACTTTTAACTTGTAAGTCAGGAAGGCCAAATGTTTTGATTGTTATAATGATTTAAATCTGCTTCTACAGCCTTTCAGCATCACTGATGACAAGGTAGACTGCAGCAACTCCCCTTCATCTGCGCTATATATATTAAATGACAGGCAGCAAATGTTCCCTTTGGAACGCTACATTTATTTTCCTGTATTTGTGTATAACTTGACACCTTTAATGCAACACTAAGGGAATTTTTCTTTTGGCATCACTGTTTGTGAGGTTTAAATACGTCTGCAACAAAGAGATGAAGCGGATGGTAGGATCTACTCACATTGCTTGGCTAGCACGGCTATGACACCCAGCAGGACAAGCACAAGGACTCCCAGGACCAGCGCCACATAGAACCAGGCTGAGCGCCCGTGTCGGCAGCCTGGAGGGAGGCAGAAGGAAGAGCGGCTTAAGGTCTTTGTACTATTAAAATTAACACTACCTTTATGTATGCCAGTTTCTTACGTGAAAACAACAGAGAAATCGTCTGCCTAAAATCAGTCTGCTCTTTGAAGTACGCGGGGACATTTTACTTATTAAAAATTTGCATCCATTTTGCATACATGAAAGTGAAATCGAAAGATCGTTTTGTCAGATAGAGCAAGTCATTTTCAATCGATCATTCCATTAAGAATTCTCTTTCTCCTTTGAGTTAATTTTTTCAAGCATTGCCTCCTCCCACCTACCCACCCACACCTTGCAAGACCCTGCAGAGCAATTCAGGGAAAGTATCAGGGATGGTCTGTGGTATGTTCCTCCTCTCTGGTCACACTCTCCTGTGTTAACGAGCCTGTCATGGCTGAAAGCTAACTTACCTGAATGCATAGAAAAGGCAAAAAATCCCATACCGACACCATAGCACAGTGACATATATCTGTCCAAGCATCTCTCCAGCTGTTTGGCATTCATCAGCTCATGAGAGTGAAACACTCAGGAAGAGGCAGGACCCGAGGAATTTGGGGGTCAGGGTGCCATTCCCACAAGCCACAGAGTTGCGCTTTCATAACTGCTGGTTTCCTGACCTTGCCTGCGTGAGATGAGCAACTGTCCCATTCTCCGGCTGCCTGAGATGTATTTTGTAACGTTCCCTTTCAGCTCACAGCGTTCTGTGGGCCTGACCTTGTCTGGCACATGTCCTTCAGTACAGAGAGGGTGGCGATCATCCACGCACTGGCTGCACATGGAGAGCTGGGTATTACGCTACTTCCAAAGCCAAATGTGTCCCTGTGACTGTTCCTGCAGAGGCACTTACAGGAGGGTTCCTAAAAAAAAGTGTGGAATTTTACTTTCCTTTGCTAAATTTTCAATGTGGCGCACAAAGGCATTTTTAAAAACTATTTTAAAAATGTCTTTCAATATTATTTTTACAAGGAAAGTGTGTAATCTGAGAACCCAGTGGAAAAAACATGCGAAATGATAAATCAGTTCTTTATTGAGACATTGTACGTAAAGACTCTTGACAACAGGTTTTACTGTTGGGTAATAGGAAAGACTAAATCTATAATTAGTAACCAACAACCAAACAAAATAGCACACTACCAGAAGCGGAAGTCTCTGATCTCCTGCTCCCTTTGGCTTTCGGATTCACGCGCAGCTCAGCGTATGTGATCGTGTTTCCTGTAAGGAATAGGGAAATGCTGACATTTGTGGTTGTGTAAGCCATTAAATGGAGTAACAATAAAGATTTACATAGAAGACTGAGTCTGTATAAAAAGGGGCATGTGTTTCCACAGCTGCTAGTTCAGCTTTTCTTTTTTAAGAAACAACAGGCAGGATGATGACTTATCATTTCCTGCTGCTGTCAGGAAGTAACTAAAAGCCTCCTCCATAATCTTTGCTTGAACTACTTGGGTCCTGTGTGGCTGGACCAGGAGGCAGACAGACTGAAGGATGGGTAAGACCTGGGTACTATCCATAGCAGACGTCCCATTTGTTGCTAAGCCATCTCGGGAGGTATCAGAGGCGCTTAAGGGGCATCAGAGCCATGACAGCTTCGTGGAGCAGGGAGACCCCCAAGGGAAAACTGCCACTCAGAGAAATGCTTCTGCAGCAAAGTGATTCTTGGGGACATTCCTGACTTGTGCCTGTTTATGCCAGGATATCACGTGATCCCTGTAAGAGCAGAGGAATGGACCTGATGGTTGAAGACAGATGCACGTTGCCAGAACAAAAAAAAAAACCAAACCATTAAAATAGCATGGTGTGAGTTAGATGCACATGGATTCTTTCTGAACGCATTTTCAATTTTGTTTGAGCTGGGTATTTTGTAGAGCTACTGGCTAGTTTTATGGAAAATATTTGGACCTTTGATAGACTGATCTTCTTTCCACAAATGGTGAGATTTTATCAATCTGAATCAAGAATAAGCTTCTGTGCTACAGCCTTAGTTTGTGATCACTGGGGCTTTTAAAAAGAAGTAAGCCATTTGTGTTGTATAAAATCTCACTGATCAGGGAAAAACTTGGCAGAAGAAGAGAGTCTTATTAGGCTAAAATCAGGTAGAATTTGGTATGAGAATTGCTTGAAGTGTGGAGAGGTTTTACAGTAAGAAAACTACTGAGGACCGGAATAAACCTTTGCATAAGGTTTATTCATACAGGTAAGATGTTCTATGCTTTAAAGAACCCGACCTAATACACTTTGCTACCTTTGCATGTTTATTCATACAGGTAAGATGTTCTATGCTTTAAAGAACCCGACCTAATACACTTTGCTGTTTGATTTATTACAATTTATTAGTTCAATGAACTACAGAAAATTTGTAAATTATATTTAACTCTATAAATAAGTAACTGTTCTCAAAAAGAAATGCTTATTCGACCTAATACACTTTGCTGTTTGATTTATTACAATTTATTAGTTCAATGAACTACAGAAAATTTGTAAATTATATTTAACTCTATAAATAAGTAACTGTTCTCAAAAAGAAATGCTTATAAAAGTTTTTCTTCTTAGAACGTAAATATTTTTCAAAGAAGAAGAATCAGGACTTTCAAACTTTTAAATGCACTGGCCTTATAAATGGAGACACTTCTTCTAAGACACATACTTTAGAAAAATCTGCTACTGTTACTAAATATTTTCGCTCTCAAATAAAGATCCAGTCCTTTAAAGAATATCTCTCACACTGTATGAAAAAATTATTACCCACACAAACTGAATTATTTAAAAAAGAGGATTGCTTCTATTACAGCGTGTGTTGGCACATGATCATTTGAATGCGAAGTCCTCAGAAGTCAGCAAGTGGTTTTAAAATACCATGTAAACTTAATTTTGCAGGATGCTTACACACCCTTACCTAGTTTAGCAACAAGGAGCCTTAGTACTAGGTGGAGATCTCTGTCACTTACTAAAACTGAAATTTCACTTCATTTCTGTATGCAAATTAAGTGCAGAAAGAAATCTCTCTTTACTGGAAGCTTCTACTTTCTGATGTGCGGATAGGGAGTGCTTCTGGTAGGTCATTCACGCCGAAGAGTCAGGCTTTACAGCCATCGGGCTCTTGCGATCAGCTGGACACCGTGCTGAATGTGAGGCCACGGTGCACCCTCACATCGCAGCTCGTACAAGTCGCCAGCGGGGCTGCGTTAGGAGACCCC